AAATAGATAAATTTAGGACAATATGATAGTTCAATAGCACCATAACATGCATTAAAAATACAATCAAGATCATCACCTTCCACTACACATACACAACTCACCCTCTCCATGATTAAATCATGTTTGGTTCCAACTATATATATATAGTTATATATAGATAATCATCTAGGTATGTAAATAAACCCCACACAACAAGTAAAATCAAGAGGGAAAGATGAGATTTCCTATCACAAGCTTGAGATTACCAATACATCTACAAAGATAATTAGACAAGAACACACACACACCCTTGATTTTAATTATAACCTCCACTTTAGTATTGTAAAGAATTCTCACTCAATTATCAAGAGGGCTTAACAAAAGTAAGGATTACATACCTTAAGCTCAAATTCTACAATCCTCACTAAGTTTCCTCAATCTTCTTCGTGAACTTCCTCTCAAACCCTCTCTAACTTTCCTCTTCCAATTTGCACTCAGGAGATATTTTTAAATGAAGCTTCTAAGTCAAAGTTGCAATGAACATAATTATATATAAAGGTAAGTAAAAACAAAATTTAATCAGTTTAATCATTCCTAATTGAAATCTCACAGAAAATCATACTATGACCTAAAAATCATGCTAATCATAAATGTAAAATCAATTTCAGATAATTAAGCCTCTAAGGCTTCGAATTTCTGATTCAAACATTATAATTGTGACAGATTGTTCTCTTATTAGATTAGATATGCATCCATAATCATAGGATTCACTTAATTAAGCTTAATTCCACATAAAATTTCACAATGAGCATTTAAAAGCGCAAAATTAGGGACTGAAAATATGCTAGAATCATGTATGAGGGTCGGGTTATTACACACAACATGCGAAATAATAACCTTTCATTCATATTCTTTTACTGTACAAAAGATGACATATGCGAGTATATATTCATAAATCCTAGATCCTGAATCTATAGCATATGCCACATATGTAAATGATTTGAAATAAAAGGAGATACAAGCAAGCTTATGTCCTGACGGCTATATCTTTCCAAGTCAATGCTTGGGTACAACAAAGGTGAGTTCAACTCAAAACAGTTAAAACTCATAGCTTGTACAAAATAATTACATCAAAAGAAAACAAAGAAGCACTTGGATCCAAGTCCTCCTAAGCTATGTCCTTAGTGGAGACATATCATAAGCACTTGAAAGTTGTTTTCCACGTAGGGCGACCTAAAACCCAATAGAGATGCTCAAACACAATGTATGAAACTTAACAAAATCATATGGTGAATGCAATGTAATGCCATGCCATTTTTCGAAAACGTCATGCTTCTTCTTTCAAAACAATGCCATGTTTCAATAAGATGTGATTCAATTCAATAATAATACTTTTCCAATTACAAAATAGGGCAGTGGTTACAAAACACTGGGAATCTCTAGGTACGTGGCTGCCAGTAAGCTATATAAGCACTACCAAAGCCATTTTACCGGTACTAACCGGAAGGATCGGCACCTAACCACACGGGTTTCTGGACTTTCACTAAGGACACACAGGCTAACAAAATAACCATAACTACACCCCCTAACTAGATTCACCAAGATATACACCTCTTTTTTTTCAAAATAATACATTTTCAATGTTCAAGTATGAAACAACGTTCAATGCAAGATGTATGAGTAATTAGTTTCAATTAACCAAATCCTCATGTAATTTCTACAACAATCAAAGTTATTCTCCACCGATAGCCCAAAATAGATATTTCTAATCAACAGATAATTTTCCAACAACAATTATAATCTCATAATTCTTCAAAATGGAAGTGATACATATATCTAATTCCACCCTCAGTATCAACATGTACATTCATTTCATTCTTTCAAAAACCTAACATCATTCCTTTTTCTTTCATAAATCAAACCTTTATGATTTTCAAATCCCACGCATTTTCTTTCAAAAACACTTTTAAAGAAAAGATTTCCATCATAACTCAACAATAAACACAACCCTTCTCAAGAACCCATTTGAAAACCCCTCTTTTACTTTTCAAAATCTAACCGTAAATCAAATCCCCATTTTTCCAAATCTCAATACTTGACAAGGAACACAAAACTAAGTTAAGAATCATACTAGAAGGTTGAAGAAATTCCTACCCCAAGTCTAGAAGATGAAGAAAACAAGGGTTGAAGCTTGATGGAGCAAAAAACGAGATCTCCTTCGATTAGAATGAAGCTTTCGACGAGCTTTAACTTTCTCTCCAAGGAGCTATGGTAGAGAAGTTGATGGATGAGGGTGTATTTGAGGTTTTAAGCAAGAATTAGCATGATATTCGCCTCCTCTATCAGATCTAAGTTTCATAATCTTCCTTTATAATTGATTTCAATTTCAGCTTTATAAATTTTAAATTTACTAAACACTAGTAACAAACCTAGAACAATCATCTATAAAGGCTACAAAATACTTATTTCCTGCTCTAGTTGGTGGTCTATTAGAATCACAAATGTCACTACGTATAAGGTCTAGGAGTTGTGAATTTCTTTCTACAAATTTATAAGGTTCTTAGGTTGTTTTGCTTGCACACATATTTCACATTTGCATTTGACATCAATAGGTGATTTAGGTACTAATTCTAAATCCATCATTTTCCTAATTTTTCTTAAATTCACATGTCTAAGTCTTTCATGCCACAAATCACAAACTTCAATATTCAAAATATTATGAGAGATATTATTAACATCAAAAGATACATTTAATTTAAATAAACCATCACATACAAAACCTTTTTCAATAAAAATATCATTTTTACTAATTACAATTTTATTCGATTCCATTACAACTTTGTAACCTAACTGTACTAAATAGATCCACTAATAAGATTTCTTCTAACTTCAGGAATATATTGCACATCTTTCAAAGTTAAGATCTTTCCAAAAGTCATCTTCAAATCTATATCTCCAATGCCAAGTATCAGTGCAAGTAATCCATTTCCCAAAGTCACACTTCCTCCACTTGATTTCTGAAAAAGTTTTAAAATAATTATAATCAAAACACACATGTATATTAGCCCCAAAATCTAATAACCAATCTTGATATTCAAAAGTAAAATTAATTTCAAGATTATACCTAAAAGATAGTCCGGCAATTTCTTCTTTCTCCAAAATCATATCACTTGAGCATTATGACCTTTGGTGTTTTGCTTGTTGTTGAACCTTGGTTTATACTCAGTCTTCTTAAAAAATCAATGCTTAACATAGTGATTGGCTCTCACACACACATAGCACAACCTTTTGCCACTCTATTGTCCCTTAAAATTATTAGTTTTGGCTTGGTAGTTGTTATTATGGTGTTTACCATTTTGACCTCTAAGTTTAAACTTAATGTTGTCTTTGAAATTTTTTCCTTTAGGTCAAAAGTTATTTCTATTATTGAAACTATTCTTAGTCTCATTCTCCACCAAATTTACCTTAGGAGTTTTCTCTTTTTCAATTTCTAGATTTGATCTATGTTTCTCTTCCACCCTAAGTGTATTGATTACTTGAGTTAATGACAAATCTCCTTGTTTATGCCTAAGACGTTTAGCAAAGTCATTCCAAGATGGGAATAATTTATCAATAAGACAAGACACTTGAAATTCCTCACTAAAAGTTGTCTATTTCTTTTCTACTTTTCTAAGTAGTTCTTGAAATTCATGTATTTTGTCTCCTACAAATTTGTTATCTTTCATTTTATACCCATTAAAATTGGAGACAGTAAACCTATCAATACCAGCATCGACAGTTCTATATTTGGCCTCTAAGGTTTTTCATAGTTCTTTGCAGTCAAAGTGGCTAACTGATACACATCATACAAATGGTTAGACAAAACACTAAGGATTCTATTATAGCAATGAAATTCAATTTGTTTGGGTAACAACCAAGATCCAACAAGATCTTGATCTTCTATGGCAGACATAAGACCTAGCACGATCAACCAATCTTTTGTCAGTTTTTGTTATCTTTCAAAATTGTTACCGTTAAAATTTTCAGGTTTCACACTAACAGTTTCTTCTAAATTAGCCATAAAAATAAATTAGTTAAGGTACAAGAGAGCAAACAATCACAAATGCTATTAAATTTGTAATTGAAAATTAATAGCCAACAATTCAATGAAATATATATTGATAAAATATGATAAAGACAAAATCTTGATGCAAATTAAATTTGTAATATAAATATTTTATTATTATTTTCCTCTTATTATATTAAATCATAAATCATAAAACTAATGCAACATGGAACAAACAAAACAGTTTTACACAGAACTGCTTTTAGAAAATTATAAGATTTTCAAGGGAAAAAAAACAAGTTAATGAATTAAAGAATTAATATATATGATATGTTAATGGGTATCAGGATTAATCAATATAAGTTAATCAAAACAAATATGTTTATGCCTAGTAAGATTAACAAAAGGAATAAAATATGCAAGTCAATGAAAATAGGGTTTTGTATAAAACGGTAAGAATTGAATTTAAATAGAACGTAATAAACCAAACCAAACCAAGCCTGAAATCCCATTAAATAGGGTCAGTTACATGAATCTTTCTTCTCTACTTGACTCTATTCAAGGCTATTTCCTTATTCAAGTTAAGGAGGTTCATATCTCTATTTACTACACTAGCCCTTGTCAATCTAGGTTTGTCCCTTCCCCTAACACTTCTATCTACTATCACTTTATCGCATCTCTTCACTACTACTACCTCTAAGGCTGAGCAGCGAATCACCCGACCCGCCAAACCCGCCCGGCCCGGCCCGACCCGGCCACATTTGGGTGGATGCGTGACACGTGGCGGGCAGGTGTGGGTCCAGATTATTTGTTTTTGCGGGTTCGGGTTGGATTACAGTTGATCCGCCATTACATCTGCTTAACCCAACCCGCCTGTTACTCTGTCCATTTTGTTTTGTTTTGTTTTCTTTTTATTTTTATTTTATATATTTTTTACGCACCTTGATTACTCTCAGCCCCTTTTCTTATTCGACAGACTCTCTCTCTCTCTTTCTCTCTCTCTCCCCAAAACCTACTCATTTACCGACGACGATCTACACAGTGATGATCTACACGATCTACGATAAGCGACGGACGATCTACATGAGCGACGATCTACATGATCTACGACAAGTGATAGACAATCTACACGATCTACACGAAGAAGCTCCCGAGAGCGACGATCTATAGTGACCGACAATTTACACGATCTCTACGAGGCCGCTATTACTGAAAAAGAAGAAGCTCCCGTTGTTGGTGAGATGGTTGTTCTACTTTATATGTTATGTATTTTTGAATTTAGACTAGACTTTGATTCATTTTTCTATTTATGTTCATTTGAAATATGTGTTTGCTTTTACTTCAACCCAAGCCTATTATGGTGTTTTACAAGTTTTTTTCAAATTTGACCACTGTATAGTCATTGCAATCCAAGTCTGTTCTGGTGTCTTTCCCTTTCTCAAGCAAACTTTATATTTTTATATTTTTCTTTATAGTCAACATTCACTAGATTTTTTTTTGTTTTTTTAAATATAGTGGTCAGATTTTCAACATCAAGATTAGCAGAAATAGTTTATGAGTTTAATCCGTTGTTGCCAACATACAAGAGTGGTCAATATTTATTAATCCATTATATAGTTTATAAATCTCTCGGATTACAAGTTGTTGGTCAAGATTTATTCAGACGAAGCCATCTTTATTGTTGATTGTTAACAATCTCTTACAATGTAGGAAATAATAATAGTATAACATGTTGTATGTTTAGTATGGATGTTTAGGAAATGGGTATTTTATTATCAATATGTCGATAATATTAAAGTGTTTTATGTAGATATATTTGTTGACTTGATTCTATTATCCTGTGGCAGTAGGGAAAAATGGAGCATATTTTGAATGATTATGTTATTTTTTTTTAAACAAAGCATATTTAGGGTTTAGGGTTTTGATTCTGTTATCTTGTTTGAAATTATAGGGAAAAACAGAGCATGGACTTCAAAAGCATATTTTGAATGATTTTTTTATTGGTTTTTGGCAGTTTATTTGATAATATTTTGGTCATGGATCCTCCAAGTGAAGAAACATTTTTTGTGAATCCTAATGTTGAACCCAAATCATCTTATATTGACCCCTCTACCCAACCTAATGCTCCCCCTCCTAAACCACACCTGGCCAAAAGTAGTACTAGTGGGAGAACACCATCAAAGGCTTGGGATCATTTTGAAAGGATTAAGGGTATTGATGGGAAAGATAGGGCAATGTGCATGTGATAACCCTGTTCCATGTTATGCTAACTGATTCTTATTATGAACATGATTATGTGTTTGATATGATTTTGAGTGCCATTTATATGAATATATGTGGTTTTGAATTTCTATCTGTTCATCGTAGGAAAATCTATTAGAATCGCTGCTCTAGAATTTAAATTGAAGGCCCCATCGGCCACAGAAACCGAAATTGATCACGCCATTGTGATCAACATAATTTTTAGTGCCTATGGTGAAATTTAATTGAAAATTGATTCGGATCAAAATAATTAGATTCAGAATGATTAATTAGGGCGCTATTATTAACCTTAATCAATTTGATTAAGTGGGAGACTATAAAAAGGGGCATTACACTCACATTCATTGGGGTTTTGAGCTCATTTCACTCATTTGGCTGAGATTAGCTCTCTAGAGAGAAAGAGGGCCGAATCTAGTGAGAGAAAGGGGCCAACATTGAGGAATTGCTAGAGAATTCAAGGAGCTAAGGGGATTAGCTCAAGAATTAGCCATAATTGGAAGAATTGAAGCTCCTAGGTGAGTGACCAACCCTTAATTCCTGAATTTGAGTTTGTAATCATGTAAATTCAAAGAGAATATGTGATCAAGAACAAGAATTGTGTTGTAATTGATGAATTTGAAGTCAAAGAATGCATGCATGAAAGGAATTGCCATGGAATTGTATGTTTGAGCATAAAGTACATGATCCATGTTGAATCTTTGATTGAAGTTCATGCTTTTGATCATCTCTTCATCATTTAAATTGGAAATGAGAGCTATATCTCACATGCATGTACAATTCATAAGAGTATGAGTTTTGAATACATGAATTTATTATGTTGGAAAGGAGTTCGGTGTAATTTGGAGCATGCATGTAATTAATTCATGTGATTTGAGCTTCATAATGTGGTGAATTGGTGTTTGCATCATGTTAATAGATGTATATGAGAACTATGAGTCATAAAATGCAAAATGTTAATTTGAATACTTGTTTGAAGCTCAACATAGTTGCTGGAAAACCCAGAATTTTGCATGTCCGCTCGAGCGGGAAACGTTAGCCCCCAGAACTTTTGCAAACATGGATGCCCGCTTGAGCAGGGAGCCATGTAGTTTAACTTTCAGCTTGAGCATCAGAATTCACGCTCGAGCTTAAAAATGAGGCAACCAGCACTTTTGCAAACCATGAGGGTCCGCTCGAGCGGCAGAACCCACGCTCGAGCGGGGAACCCTATTTATGAAATTTTGTAAAGATGTTTCGCGTTTCATTTTCCGTTCTCTTTCATTTCTAAGCACTCTTAGGCATGCATTAAGCATTGTAAATGAATTAAAAGGATAAGAACGAAGCCTAAGAGGAATATATGAATTAAGGACGGAATGAACCGTTTGTGACCCATTATGTTCATGAAATGTGTAGGGTCAAGCACGAGGGCAAATCCACCGGCAAATCACTGTGAGTAATATCTTAATAGAGATATTTGAAGTATGTTATTTGTCCAATTGCTTATTTCCATATCAGTCTTATGAGTTTGTTAATTTGAATTGTGGACAAATATATGTTATGCCATATGGTTGGGCCAAAGGCCATTGGATACAAATGACTTGGCCAAAAGCCGTTTGACATAAATGATTGGGCCAAAGGCCGTTTGACATAAATGATTGGGCCAAAGGCCGGTTGACATCAATGATTGGGCCAAAGGCCGTTTGACATCAATGAATGGGCCAAAGGCCGTTTGACATGAATGAATGGGCCGAAGGCCGTTTGACGCGAATGATTAGGCTAAAGGCCGTCGGACAGGAACGATTGGGCCAAAGGCGGTCGGATATGAATGAATTGGGCCCTAGGCCATTTGATGTGTTTGGAACCGCAGTCACTTGATATACATATGTATATATATATATATATACTAGCTAGAAATATGAATTGGGCCCAAGGCCGTCTGACGTAGGTTGTTCTAAATACCGTTCGTGTATCTTCTTTATTTGATATTATTCACTGGGCTTTCGCTCATGCTCATTCATGTGTCTGTAGGTGAGCCAATGGAGGTCCAAACCTAGCCTCAGTGAAGTTTGTGTGAAACAGTCAAGGTTTTGAAGAGTCAGCCTATACGTCTCACGCACGAGACTTATTTTCGCCCTTTTGCTATTTTGTTATATTTTGTCATGTTGGCGAGAACTTTGGATTAAGGTTATATATAGTTTTGATTGGCTAACCATGACTTGAATGATTCTGCTGTGTAAAGCTTATATCTTAACTTTCCTTGATGTGAGTTATTAATGTATGTTTGTGAAATGTTGTGACGTGCCATGTAAGCACAGCTCTATGGACAAAAGTTTGAAATTGCTTCCGTTTGGCCCCCCCTTAACTCTGTTAACACATATCTGATTTGGTTTAAGACCGTAGGTAATCTCGTGATTACTGACCAGTTATGTCCTTAACCCATGGGGTAGGGTTTGGGTCATGACAGAGTGGTATCAGAGCACGAGTTAATAACTCGCACACTTGTCCAAAAGAGCAATAAGCATCTAAAAAAGATCTAGGATGCATTCATGTGATAAGTAAGAATTTGTAAACATTGAAACTATGTTTAAATGCTCTGAAATAAATGATTATGTGCTCTATGTTTGTGATTTACTTGCATTGCGAATTATGTGAATATATATGCTCTTTAGTATATGCATACTTGTGAAATTTTTGTATAGAGAATAATGCAAGTCCAATCAGATGGTGAGAACAAGAGGTGATGAAATAGAGGAGTCCTCTACTACCAGAATGGATAGGATGGAAAGATTGATTCAGGAAATGGCAGAAACATTAAGGCAACAACAACAGTGGCAACAACCACAACCTCTACCTCTGTCACCACCCATGCCAGACTTACAGAATGATGACCGAATAATAGCTCTCACCAAAGAGTTTAAGAAAATGAAACCACCACAGTTCCATGGGGGATTAGATCCGTTAAAGGCAGAGGCGTGTGTTCTCGGCATTGAAAAGCTGTTTGAGGTGTTTCCTTGTTTAGAGACACAGAAAGTACTTCTGGCCACTTTTATGCTAGAAGACAAAGCAAGAAGATGGTGGGTGTTAATGCTTGAAAATCATAAAGACATTGGCTGGGCGAAATTCCTGGAAGTTTTCTATGATAAGTACTTCCCTCAATGTGTTCGCGATAGGAAAGTATCGGAGTTCATGAAACTTAAACAAGACAGCATGACAGTAGCTGAGTATGAGGCCAAATTCACTGAGTTGGCCAGGTTTGCACTACATGTGATCGATACCGACTACAAGAAAGCGAGACATTTTGAAGGTGGGCTTCGAAGTGATATTTTAGAAAGGGTAAATGTCCTGAAGCTGGAAACCTATATTGGGGTGTTAGACTGGGCCATAATATCATAAGCTAACATAGCTAGACAGACCAGATCAACAACCGACTAGAAGGGTGGCAAAAGACAGGGCTTCTTTTCGAAGAAGAAATTTTCAAAGAAGCAAAACACGGGCTCCTCAAGTACTTTGAATTCTTCCTGAGATACATCTCCTATGTGCAATATTTGTAGTAAAAGGCATCGTGGGGTTTGTTACCATGTCTCGGGAGCCTGTTTTAAATGTGGTAAACAAGGGCACATGGCCAGAGATTGTAACCAGAACAGTGGAAAATTAGCTGTTAGCTCAACAACATCCATCCCAAAATCGGGAAATACAATGAAATCTACTACCACCGAAGATACCGTGAGGCAAGGGAGAGTTTTCGCGCTTGTTCGGGGCGATACACAAAATGCTAACGCAGTTGTCTCAAGTACTATTTATATATGTAATCAAGATGCTTTTGTGTTAATTGACTCCGGATCAACACACTCTTTCGTAACGTAACATGTGCATTTGCATCTAGACTGAGTAGACCTCTAGAATTATTGCCATACCTGCTATGTGTATCTACTCCATCTGGGGAATTTGTATTGTGTGAATTTGTATATCTTTTTTATGACATGCGAATTGGGAAT